CATAGGCTTGTAGGTTACAGACCTCATAGCTGATCTTGCGGTTGGAAAACAGGCGTTTTGCTTCTGGTGAAGACCAGAGCCTGCTGTAGTATGGGTTCTCAAGAACAAAGTAACGTCCGAGCTTCATTTGGTGGTCTGCGACCGATTCACAGAATTTTAAAACAGAAAGTCTCTTGGCAGAGCCTTTCTTCCACTGTGAGTACCAGCTAGACCACTGAGAGTGATCGGGTGACATAACAATAATAGTAGGTTCTTGTTCCTTGATGATCCTAAGAAGATTGGAGCGACCTTGCGGTTGCTCAAGATCTAGACCACTACGCAAGTCGACTGGCTGACCTACTCGCAGACCTGACAGGGCAGCCTTGTGACTCATACGGGGAGATCCACCGTAGAGTTCTAGGAAGTCAATCTTCCCAGTGCTGGTGACCTGCCAGTGACACTCTTGATGCGGAACCGTTAGGTCTGTCGACTGCAGGGAAGCATCAAAGGTGACCATGCAACTTGCGTGATCAGAACCTTCTGACGTCAGAGTTTCCTCATCAGGCGCGAGAGGAATCTCCACATCAGATGTTATGTCATAATTTTTCCTCAGTTTTGAGATATTAACGCGGACGATGCGTGTTCCAAGATCCACACCTACCATGGATCCTCCGAGTTCGGAGATCACCTTTCCTTTTAGCCAAGATCCATGTTTGGACCCAGTTGATCCAATCTTAGACTTATCCTCTGACCAGTAGAAAACCTTATCTCCCAAAGAGAAAGGTCCTTCGGTCATTGACAGTCTGGCCGCAAGATCTCTGCGCAGATCATCAGATTGGCGTGCCTCTTGGTAAGCCCTGTTGGCAAGCTCCTTAATGGCTCTCGCAGTGACTTCCGTATCAGTTGGATTACCTGTCAACTGATTGGGATCAGCGTTCTCTGGTGTTATAACATCTCGAGGACGCCTACCAAAGGCCATTTCTAAAGGAGTAACTCCTCCGTAGGTAATCGAAGAGTTTCTTGCCAAACATGCTTGTCGAACGAGGTTGCCATACTTCATGGTGATTCCGTTATACTGCGGGTCACCATCCTTCAGGATCTGAAGTATGATCTTAATCTGATGCTTCAGCAATCTTACAGCAGCTTCGGCCCTGTTGGGCCATGGTGTTCCAGGTCCTGTTGCTACAGGCTTGATATTCTGCCGATTGTAATAAGCCTCCATTTTTGGAGTCATGAATGCTTGATCTCCAACTACAACCTTTGGGTTGATCTGAAATTTCTCAAAGTAGTCATTCATAATCGACATTGTAGTATGCTCTTCTTTATCCTGGACTACTTCGGAAGTCAACAGGTTTGTTGCTCCGTCATAGAGAATAAGAAATATTAAGCGACTATTCTTGCCGGGAATTGGAAGCTCACCGTGATCTACGAAGGTGAGATCACCGAAAGTCTCTGATCTTAAACCGGAAATCTTCGCTCTTGAAGGAGCTCTCACGTGTTCCTGACAGGCTGAACACTTTTTGACCAGTTGGTCATATAGCTCATATATCTCCTTTGGGATCTGTAAGGCTTTCGTGCGTCGCTTGAACTGATCCGTACTCATATGACGGTGCTTAAGGTGAAGCTTATAGAGTTCTACAGGGTCCTTAAGCTTCTCATGAATCCTGCGAAGAGCAATGGGAAGAGATGGCGATGGTTCTGCGACAATCTCTTCACCTGTAGGTGAGTCTGTACCAGGAGCCGGGTATTCTCTTGACTCAAGTGGTCTTACCTCCGTCCCGTCATCAGCTCCTGGGACCATAGACTTCTCCTCAACAGGAGGTTTGACCGCATATTTGCGGGTTTTCTTCAGAAGGTTTTTAAGACCCTTTGGAGTCTTTGTCTTCGCAGGTGGAACCTCAAGTCTTTCTTCTTCTGGAGGTTCGTGCGGTGCAGATGATTCTGCCGGTTTGTCTCTAGAGCCTGATGATGGTTCCGGCGGTTCGGAAGGCTCAGGAGCATCACCAGATAGTTCTGGTGGATCGGGTTTCTTGGCAGATGATTCTGCCGGATCAGATGGAAGAGGCTTCTTCTTACCTGGAATGCCCTTCGGTGGTGGATCAGCTGCTCCCTCAGGTGCCTTGTCGCAACCTTTGAGGTACGTATGAGCCCTTTTCTGTCCTGCGCAGGCTGGACAGCGACCTTCCGGGATCCTAGTATAAGATCTTCCTTCTTCCTTTGGCTTCCTAGCTCCTAGAGCAGTCTCTGTCGCACTGAACGACGTACCTGATTTAGGGAGATACTTCCTGGTGGAAGTGAAGCCTAGAAGGTCCAATACCAAATGGTTATTGGTACTAATCGGAAGAGGGGTTTTATACAAACCGAAAGCTTCACACGTTGCTAGGTCAGCTGTGGGACTACACTCGAGGGTCATTCTTAGATTCCTCATCTGTTCGATGGAGAACAAAATGGGAACTCTCCCCTGATCCAGAACTTCTATGGTTGTATCTCTTCTTGGAGTTGTGTTGAACCATAGAGTTACACGCTCCTTGATAAGAGCTGTTTCACTATCTGCGAAAGAGAACTTCGTGTTCGAAGGTGAGAAAGTGAAATCAATCATGCCTGGGGCACGTTGCTTCACGGCCTTGATAAGCCTGTTCACCGCATAGCGGGAACCCATAGCCCTAGTACAACCTGAGTCAAGTATGACAAAGGTAGGGTTCTTATCAAGATTGATCCGCTCTGTGAGAGCAGATAGGACGGTGTGCTGCAACGGAAACACCGCTGTTGCAGTTTCAACACCTTGCCCCTCGGATGGTTCAAAGACCTGGGGCACGTAACTCACTGATGAGTTGAACACGGGTTCTTGGTGCGCGCTCGGATCTGTGCCTCTACCTGATGATCCTGCTTGATTTCTTCTCTTCTTTCTCCGTGTTTTTCTTCGTGAGGCTTGTGATGCATAGTATGTATAAGACGTTTGATCGTCATAAGCGGCATAATTCCAACTGGAGTCAGTATAATAACTGTCCTCATACCATGAATCCCAGCTCGGTGCGGTGGAACTTTCATAGGCCTGTGGAGATCCAGTTTGGTCTCCTTGTAAGGAGGCAGACTTAGCTGTATCCTTACCTTTGCCTTTTGCCTTTGCACCTTTGAAGGAGCTTCCTTTATCTCCTTTGTCCTTTCCTTTTCCTTTGCCTTTTCCACCTTTTCCTTTTTCCTTTCCTTTACCTTTACCGAAATAGCTGGAATCAGTTGGATCATGTTCTGCCTGGTTGGCTCTCCCTTTTCCGCGGTATGACCTAAAACGGCCACGTCCTTTTCGCTTGCCACCCTTTGCTCTTCCCGGTGATCCGGGACGCATTCTTGGTCTTCTTCCCTTTTTGAATCTCCTTGCAACGAAGGCCTCATGGTCATCAACTGTCCAGAAGACAGCTTCTTCATCCTCGGCGGCAAGAAAGCCTTCCTCAAGGGTGTCTTCGTCTTGGAGCCAGAATCCATCGACTCCATCGTATTCACCCTGATCGAGGATGAGGAAGTTTCGACCTCCGCGTTTGCGGCGTTGGTCTCTCCTTCCATGGCGGTCCTTCTTGTGAGAAGAGTGCCGAATGTTGGGATCCTGCAGACCAGTTCTGGTCGTTGAGAACTGATCGAACATGGTCTGCCGTACCACAGGGTACGTGTAGGTCTCAATTCGGTGACCTTGGTTGGTCAATGCTGTTACCAACCTCTCACGTTGCATCTCATTTAGGTCGGACTGCACTAGGAAGAGGAGAGCTAGGAGATTATCGTTCAGAGGAAACGCTCTTCGATGATTGTCAAGGCGTTCCTTGTTCCATGTTTCGAAATAGCGTGCGGCATATGTGTCTCTCTCGGCTGCATCCTGCATGCGCAAGAAGGTTTGGTCTGCCTGCACAGCTTGCATGAAATCTGGATGGGCATCCTCCAGAGCTATCTCTGGTAAGAGATCCATCCATGAGTTTTTCACGCGCTGTAGCACGATCTCAAACTTGGCAATCCAAGTCACAAAGTCTTGGTTGCCCTTCCATGCCTTGAATAGGCCGAGGAAACGCCACAGGAAAACGTACTGTTCTCCTTTCACGAAAAATGGACGCATCTTCTTCTTGAAGTAATCTACTCCATCTGGGGCTGCAAGCCTTTCTCGGTTCAGTGATTCCTTTTGTACTGCGGCCAATCCGGAGAGCCTCGTCTTGAGAGACGGACCTCTTTTGGTGTCATCCAGCGTTGTTATGTCGCACCAGTCGTCAATCAACTGTTCATACTCAAACCACGAGGTGGTGCCATCATAGGCAGGCGCGATCTTGGGCGTTATGCCTAATGATGCAAGCATGCGGTCAGATGTTGCATATGACTGTGCGACATAAGTGGCTGGACCTTGGGAGGTCTCTTCGTTCTCATATCCCCCGGAGGATTGGGAACTGCCGTCGGCTTCGCTATGCGAGCTCGACATTGTGCTGCCTCTTATCCGCTTGGTTAAGCGTTCGGCGAGGCCGACCGCTGTAGCGGACTTTAGGAGGCGGGCGGCCCTTTCCGGGCTCCGCTACCAGAAAACTGTGCCGATACACCCACAAGGAAATGCTCCTTGTTAGGAGGTGTATGACCAGTTTATTCCCTAAGGATCAAAGGGCAGCGCCCTGCACACGGACAGTAGTTGTTTTGTCTTGCTACGCAAGGAGAGCTTGTCTTGTCTCAATATGGTAAAACCACTGTGAGCCAATGGGCAGCGGAATGTATATGTATGAGCATGCAGCCATTGCTGTAGGTACCTGTTAGAGCTACCCCTTTAGAGGTTTACGGAATCACCCCCCCCCTCCCCCCCCCCCCCCCCCTCCCCCCCCCCTACCCCTCTCCCCCTCCCTGTACACGTTCTCCTCGCACTTCGTATCAACAACCGTATAAAGGGTTTGACAGGCCGCCCTAGCATAAAAAAACATCGACTGCCCCCTCGCCCTGCCGCTACACAGCCGAGGCGGGCGGCGTAGCGTTAAAATTAGTACATAAGCTTTCTCCAGGGCCCGGGCATGACCATAATACCGTTGGATGCGGCCATGGCCAAGCACTGAGCCTCTCCTTGCCTCTTGCGAGCTTTGCCTGAGATCACACCATCATCAAACAACATCAGTAGTAGCAGTCGTTGCTGTCTGCAGTAGCGAGACACAGCGCTTGCTGCAGCTGATGCAAGAGAGCAAGGACAGAACACCCTCACTCACGGACTGCATGTCAACTCATAAACAACATCAACATCATCAGCATCAACAATTAGCTCTATGGTCATCGCGACGCTTCCCTCTCTGATCCCTCCGCCCTTACTTGGAAGAAAGGATCTCAGGATCTTCTAGAATGTTTGTGATTGCCGCTGGCCAGACACGAGTGGCCAGCCGTCCTCAAAGAAAACTACCCGGAACACAGCAACTTTCCCAGGTCAACACTGCTATGTTGCATGGAAGGTCTTCGATCGCGAACATGTCGCATAAGATTGAAGCTGATTCAAGAGTGCAGCTATCCAGTGGAGCTGCGTGCAACCTTTGATTGGCACGATGTGGCGGTTGCGTGGTAATGATGTGTCACGAAGACTTTCCAAGCCTCCATGGTCGGCAAGCTTTTCCGTGAGAGCGATCTTTTCAAGTTCTTCCTGGGAGCCTGACGCATGGAGGCTTCGCGACATTCCTCGTGCAGGTGAACAAAGGACCGAAGCGCAGGGAGAGAAGTGCCTAACAGGCCGCTACTACTGGTGTTTACAACCCACACAGCCCAAGGAAAAAAAGCCCGGGGCCTGGCGGGGCCTGGGGGCTTAGTCTTCCAAAGAGGGTTTAGGGCTCAGATAATGTTCGGCTTCGGCGCCATGTAAAGATGTCTACTCGACCCCCCAGGCTCCTCGACCCAACCGGTCAAGCAGTCGCGCAGCAGCTGGCGCTTCGCCCTCGGATGCATGTTCGCGTACATTCTGCAAGTTTACACCAGGCATGCATGCACGCATGCAAGGGGAGAAATCTCGAGACAGGTTCGTTTAAGTATCTTGATCTCTGTCTTCCTGCCTGCCTTAGTCTCTTCTCCACAAACTTAGACAGACATGAAGTTGGCTCAGAGGGTCGATACAGCAAGCCGTGGCTTCCTGGCTAAGCAGATTTACTGAGTTTGCTCAGCACGTGTTTCCAGGCGAAGACTGCTACAGTTGGCATTTCGATAAGACCCAGCATAGCCAGAGACTCAGCCGCGCACCGCGCCAGCCGCTGATCCGACGTATTCCACCTGAGCCCAGGAGCTGAAGCTCACTGCCTCGAAGAAACGAAGAAACGATCGCAACCGAAGAGCCGAAGGCTGCGAAGCCGTGCGGACTTGTCCTCCGCCTGGCGTTTCAGCAGGCTCGTGAAGTGGCCGCAACGTCAGGGTAAGGGGTGTGAACCTCTCAGAGAAATCCTTAAAAAATACCTAAGCCTGGGTTTTAGAACAAGAAAGGAAAGGAGTGGTAGCAAAGCGAGAGAACTACAGTGTCAAGGCGATGGACAGAGATGCGAGGCTGATGGATCGACGGAATGATACTGGGCAGGGTTGTAGTACACTTGCGGGAGACTCGGTGAGGTGCGCAGAGACTCACCAAAGTATCTCGGAAGAGAGCTGACCAGCATGGCTTATGAGGAGCTTGTTCTCACGAGTATGGCCTTTCTCTTGGTCAGGACTTCTTGCCAGCCATGCCAGCATGTCAGGATTTCTGACCTTGGCTGGCTCCGGGCATGAGCTTGTCTCATGGGACACCAGTAAACTTTCTTGGCCAATGTTTCGCGACAAACCTACGGCATCTTTGGTGCTTTCCCACCGCTGAGTCTGCAGTCGTCCAACAGCCCCGATGATGCTTCAGGCAAATAGGCAAATGCAACATCTATTCGACAATCTGAGCTTACCGGAGGTGTCAGATGTAGCTACCGCCCTCAGTCCAACAGCAGGTGCTGCTTGCGGCTCAGCCAACGACTGCACAGTTCGGGAGACGACCCGCAGACCTCCCAAAAGAGTCCAACAGCATGTACCTAGAGATCCTGGATCTTGCGCAGGAAGTAGCAATGTAGGTGTTGACTCATCGACTCATCGTGAGCCCTTTGGCACTCCAAGTGAAGCCACCAGGATCCATACGAGATTCAGAAGATACTTGTAGCTGCCGCTGATAAAGCATTCCTGCGACTTAGACTACTTCGCCGTATAACGTGCAATGCCCGATATGTAGCATCTCCTCTCCGACCTTCCTGTCGCGGCACCTACTGACCTACTGCCCACCACACTACCACCCTCAGCTTGCGCGAGCCTCGTACATGGCTGTAGCGCCGCCGCCGGCGGAAATGCGCCCAAGAACGCCAGGCCTTCATTTAGAATCGCACCGGCACCACCAAAAAAACGCATCACACCTTTGACGAGCACGGCGAGTCTAGGGCCTCAAGTGGGATAGAAATCTGTTGAGAGGCACGAAGACTCTCGCTACAAAGGAAGCGGAACCTCCGGGCTCTTATCGAAACATTTCACCAATTTCACCTTATCGACATATTCAGCGAAAGGGAATCGACGTGGTGCCTGGCTTTTGAAAGACCTCTTCACGCTCTCCCTCTGCTGAAATCCAAACCGCCAGCCTGCCAAACGTCCCCACATCTCCTCCGTTCTTCACGGACCGCAGCACGGCTGGCAGCACGGCGGCTGGCACGAGCGCCCTGCATGCAATCAGCCTTCTGAGGCCACCTCCCTCAGTCCCTCACCATCAAAGTTGCGCGAATTGTCAGGACTCGGACTGCTTGAAAGTGGCACATTGCGATCCGACGATGAGGCAGCAAGAGACACAAAGAAGAAGATACCTGCCGGCCTTTGAGCACTGGTGCCAAGCTCTGAGAGCCGTTTCTTGGAGCCACCTGGCAGCCGCTAGGATCACTGGGACGTGCTTGATGTCGGGGGTTGTTCAGGCTTGTTCGAACCTCGCGGGCAGCCAGACCCTGCAGTCAATGCTCAACAAGTGCATAGAATGGGGCCCACCAACCAGTACATCACCCTGAAAGCAAAGCCTGGGGTTCAAGACTCCTGCAAACTACAGTACGGATGGTGTGACAACTCTAAGGGTCAAGGAAAAAACACCTACGTAGCCAAAACCCATAAGCTGGACCCGCACAAGCCAAGAACAGAACATTTCAAGGTTTCACAATCTTCTCTGTGCAGCATCAACTAAGCCAAGTCTTTCCGAATAGGCTGTGATGGAGTCGTCACTCGGCATTCTCGAAGCTTGAAGGCGCTGGCTCGCTTGGATCATTTCACGTATCTGCATGAATCCGTCGCCGGGATGCCAAGCTTACTCCATGTCACCCCTCAGCAAACTGTGCCGTGATCTGCATGATTCCTTCTCTCTTTGTTGACCGGCAAGCTATGCATATTCATTAGGTAGTTGTTGTGGCTGCCAGCATCGACTTTCAGGCATGTTGCGCCTGCCGGTGCAATGCACACCAGGTGAGAGCTCCCCAAAGAAGCCAAGCATCGTTTTTGTGTGGGCAAAGCACTGGAGCTCCAGGCTGGCTAAGTGCTGCAACTGCAACTGCTGCGTTAGCAAACTGACCTCATGGGTCACAAGTAAGTTCTTCGGACTCTGCCAACATCGCCTCAATCGTGTGCGGTCTACATGTCTTTGTGGCTCGTCCGAACACTTTCTCCCACTCCCGGTCGACCTCCGCTCAACTTCGACAGAACGGCCTGGGCACGGCCGAGTCATTCGCCAGCGGAGCTAGAGATTGCACATGTTCAAAGGCTATAAGCTTCATGTTGACGACTCAAGATCCGACAGTCAGTAACCAGCCCGAGCCTCTGAAATTCTAACATCCAATCACCTGAACCTGCATGCACGATTGCAAACTCAACGGAGGTTTATCCCGACTCCTCAAAAAACACAGCCTCCCAAAAGTATTGTCTTGTGCTACTTCTGTCAGGACCATCGCAGTTGTTCAGACCAACGGTAGACGGTATGGCCAAGTGTGCAAAGCAACCGCAGAAGCCAACTGACCCTGAGGTCGTGGCTCATGTAGCCGAGCGCAGCTGACTGAAGTCGTAGCTGGCGGATGTGCTCCGAGGCTCAAGCTGTTAGAAAGAATCACTGAGAAGCTTCAAAAGTCCTAACCATCCGCGGGCTTCAGTTGTACAAATGAACCACCAGAAATATTAGTTTGCAGCAACGGAGCCACAGAGCCTCATGCTCGCAACGCAAAGACGTCGCGCGCCGTCAAAAAAGGCTAGCAGGAGAACTCCAGGACTCGCCAGGCCAAGACTTGTGGCCTTGTTCGCCTCCTCTCTTTGGAGTTGGCTGCTCCTGGCGCTGTGCGGCGTTCCGTGGCTGCTCCCTTGCTCGGCCGGCGGCCCCCGTTGCTGGGGCTCGGGCAGGGAGGAGGCCGAGCACAAAGTCTCGGCCAGCCGCATCTCCGCGTCCTGTGCACGCGAACCGCGCGAAGGCGCAAGGCAAGAGGCCAAGCCGAAGCTTGTTTAAAGACCATAATAGGTATTTTTTAACCAGCCTATGATGCGAAGGCGAAAGAAGACACGGCCGCCGCGTCTCCGCTCCGCTGCGGCCCTGCGGGCCCCGCCCCGAGCCCGCCCGGCCTTGTGGAGTCGGCCTGGCTTTCACGCTCAACTGCGCGCGCGCATCTTTTCTCCAAACCCACGCTTCTTGTCATTGTGAGTCTGATGGATTCAGGACTTTTCAAGGGAGGCTTTGCCCATGGCCGGGACCAATTTGCTTTTCTTGTTCGCGAGCCTTGCCTTGGCGAAGCAACGCACAGGCGCCGGCCCAGCAAACCAGGCAAGACCTGAGTCGTGACCACGATGACAGGTGCCCTTCCCGGGACTGAGCTTGAGCTCCCGAGCCCTTCAAAGCCGCTCAAGCAGGGTACCGGAGATGCTTAGTAGCATATCTATATGAAGTTCGGGTCAGCCTCGTCTCCGCATGAAACTGTCTTGCAGCCTTGCCGTGCCGCTTGGGGCCGTGGCAGGAGAAACGCCTGGGAGCGCTTCGGCCGTGTAGGCTCTCTATCAAAACATACCGTGCAGCAGCAGCAGCAGCAGCAGCAGAGGCAGCAGCAGCAGCAGCAGCAGCCCCTGAACAGCATGCTTCAGCGAAGAACACATCTGCGTGGCTGGCCTCATCCGCCAAAACGGTCACTTTCTGCAACACTGCAGGCGTCCTCGCAAGACAAGAAGCACATGATTACACCTCTCGGACTGTCGTCCACCAGGCCGACCACACCATCCACTGCAGGCCTCTGACGCTGCGAGCAGAGGTGGCTGGCGTAGCTCTCCAAGTTCGAGAGCCGCCTCAGAGGAAGCGGAGAATTGGGATGAACTCCCATGCGCGGCGACAGCGGTGCAGGGCTCACGAATACACAGAACATGCCGTTGCAGCACGGCAGGCTGGGCTCCCGTCACTGCATCTCGCCAGGAGAGAAAAGAAAGCTCCAAAGTCTCCACAAGGAGCCGGGCCTGGCGATTGGAACGCGCGCCCCCCTCTCTTTCCTGACCCTGACCAGTCCCGCTCTCTCCTTCTTTACCCAGAGTGAAGGCTCATTCCTGGGGCCCCCGGCGCTGAGGCGATCCACAGCACGGCCGAGGTCTTCTCGGCCCTGCAAACTACAGCATGTGCCTGCGGAATACACATAACCCGTATAACCAGCTCTGTATACACCATACGAGTCCGCAACACAACACGCGGCGCTGGCAAGCCGGAGTTTGGAGATGTTTGAAGATGTTCGCCACACTTTCCGGAAAAGCTTCCGAGCAACATCCCAAACTCTTGAGATGCCCAAAACAGAAGCTTTTACGTGTTGCTCCCCACCGCCGTCGCACCTTGCTCCAGACATTCACCAGCGCCGCTCTTCCTGGGGCAAGCGCACGAAAAGCATCCGGCCAGCTGCCTCAGGATAAGACTCCGGAACTCCTACATCCTCGGAAGCATGCCCTAAACAACTCTGCTGTATCCAGAATGACTAGATGCTTTTGAATCTTCACTTCTGATATCATCCAACCGTCTTGAAGCCACCCTCATCTCATACATCAACCCAACCTCGCACAATCTCGGACTCCATGGCCCGATAGGATTGGCACAGCATCGTAACGGATCGCCTTTGTCAAGATGGAAACCCTTCGGGATTCAACTTGAGACGGCGAGCGCTCCGAGCGCCAAGAGCCAAGCCAGGCCCGGAAGCTGCGTTCCGCGGCCGCCGCATCGGGCGCCGCGACTTCGGCGCGGAGGCGGCCTCAGAGCTCTAAGAGAGCTTCTCTTTCTCAGGCGCGCAGGAGGCTCCGGAATTTGCAGCGAGGCCCGCGCCAGTGCGATGTCTAAGCACAGCTTCGATGCAGCTGTGATGAAGAGCCTGCCATGTAGTTCGGCCAAAATCTGACAAGATTGGCCTCACGTCTGCACGATGGTTCCTACCACTTCGGAAGCCGACTTGAAACGCGTAGCAGGCCTCCTTGAAGGCCATAAGAACTCTGGTCAGTAGCAGCCTCAGTCAGGCTGGCCCTGAGCCAACAGCAGTGCAGCACGTCGCTCCCAGAGTCTGCCACAGACTTTCTGTCGACGCAAGCAAAGCTTTGTGACGTCTGTGCTGGCTGGCTTCGAATACCAACCAAGATGCCTGCGCCAAGACAACAAAGCCTTCTGTGTGACAGCTGCCACACCCTCCGGAACTTTCCGAAAGGAACGGCCAACAATCGTCCATGCAGTGCCCAGGCAAGTCTGCAATGCAAATACCGACAGAGCGCCTATACCCTAAACCCTTAGACCGGAATTTGTTTAGCGCCAGCTTGAACCAGAGCTTGGAGAAGAAGAAGAGACGATAAACCCGGAACTAAACCCTTCGAGGGCTTCCAGGAACCAGGCACATTGGCAAAGGAGCGGCCAAGGCTTCGCCCAATGATGCTCGCATGGAGGCCTAAGGGCTTTGGGTTTAAGGTATCTTTTATCAGCCTCTTTTCCTCCTGCCAAGTACTGTTAGTCGGAATGCCTGTCAGGCTGAGGCGATGGACCTGGGAACTTAATCAAGGGTTTCACCACCATCACCACAAACTAGAAATATCCCAGGTCCTCGGGTTTATGGGGTTTGGGGTTCTGAGGCTACCAAAGCAGCGACACGCACCCTCAGAAAATGTCGGGGCTTTTGCTGAGGCCACGTCGTTCCACCGATTCTTGTGACCGCGGGAGGAACTTCATGCGAGAGGTTTTGACCAGGTTTCTCCTCGCCGACGGCTGCCAGACATGTATCAGTGCAAGCCTGCAATGACTAGCAACAGGTGTTCAGCATGTGTCTTCGGCTTTCGTAGCTTCATGAATGATGCTACCACAGGTCAAGCACGCCCTGAAGCCCTGAATTCTTGGCAAGAGAACCCGGAGAAGCACCTGCGCGTCCGATGGTTGGCGGCGATTTTTAGCATATCCGCGATATCGTGGAGCGTGGAGGTAATGACGCCCGGTGGCCTGAGTTGTCAGACACAGACAATGAGTGAATGCCTCTGACACTTCGATTCCAGTCTTGATGTTTAGATTTTCGCCAAAGGATTCTACCCAAGGCCTGTGAGCTGATGCGGATCAGAGCGAAGTTTTTATGGCATTGGGCAAATCGTGTAAGTCAGAGCACTGCTGCTGAAGGTGCGGGCTTTCAAACATTTTAATCGGCTCAAAGCATTGCTCCCTGGGAGCCCTGCGCGTCACTGTAGCAGCAAGCACCCCAAGGACCCATCAGAACTGGCCGAGCTTGCCGCAGTCAGTTTCAGTCGAGCTTGAGACTCAGAGTTTGGACTACAGGACTCAGTGACTGTAACTCAAAGGGTTATGACGGCGGGAAAGGATGCAAAAGAACAGCATTATCCTCATAGCTTTGGGGGGGAGGCACTGGATTTCTCTGGCAAGTGAAATGAAAAACGAGAAGGGGAGCAACAATGATACCAGCAATGTGTGTTCGTCCTTCCCGGTTCTGAGCTTGGTCGTCTCGGCTTTTTGCTCCCTTGGCAACTAGGTCCTAGGTGACCCTTGTCCAGCTTCGGATGCAACGGGTGTCTAGTCGTTGTCTGCTTCAGAAAACTCCTTAGTTTGGGGACAGGTCGGCATTGCAAGATTACTGGACTTTGAGCTGCAACAGAATCTGAATGGGATCTGCGACAGTGGGCGCAGTCTTTTTCCTTCCGACACAGCCGCAGCTAAAACTGATGCGGAAGAGGTGGAGCGCTCAATGTGCTCAAAATCTCTGTCTTATGTAGGTGTCCCTAGGAGCCACATATCTACGACTTGATGGCTGGGCTGCGTGCCAGGGAGCACGGTATAGCGTAAGGGCTCCACGAAGACTAGCGGATGACTGCTGCGACTGAATTCCTGCGACAGGCAGCTTCTCAGGTTGAAGATGCGCCTGGAGTGGTTGGGCTTGAAAAGGTCAGGTGCGAAATCTGCACAGCACATCTCTCTCAGTTTACATCCCATCAGGCAGAACCCCCAACAAACTTGAACCACGGAGCCAAACCCGAACATCAAGTTGCCTAGCCCTGCCTGAGCGAGTGAACCAGCAAGCATGACAAGCGGAGCAATATTTCAGTTCGGAACCCGTCGAGCTGGAAGCATCTGGAGCGAATCGCCCGCTCTGTGCGTCTACCTCAGGTAGATGGGGGCATCCTTCACTGTTGGCAACCATGCACCAGCTGATGCAGAGTCGAGGGAAAACTGGCAACTTCACCCTTCCAATGGACGGTCTTCCTGCATCTTCCATGCCGGGTTGCATGGTGCTCGACTCTACCATGAGGTCGGCAACCGCATTCAAGTTCGGGTAGTCGAAGATCAGGGTGGACGGCCTGCAAGAGCGAGACGCTCTGCATCTCTCCAAGTCTGCCAAGTGCTTCAGCCACGGCACAGCTTCAGGCCAGACTCCCGTGCCAGCGTCTCGCGGAAGGAGATGGCAGCCAGGCCTCAGTTACGGCATCTCTCGCAGTCGCTCGACAGCTCAAGATACCTGAAGCTCTCGACTTCTGCGAATCATCGGCAAGTCCCAGCTTGCATCCGTCTCTGAGCAGCCGGCTGTCTAAGCCCACGTCCATCAGAGAATCCTCAGAAGCTCAAGACCTCTTCTCGCACGAGCACACGACACCCCAGCGACCTTCTCTCGTCCGAGGCCTTTTCGCCTCAGCATTGGCCCTGAGCCCTAAATGCAGCCCGCAGTTTGTGCCGAGCGGCATCGAAGGCGATCGGCTCTTCGGACCCGACGGCCTGGCATCGAACTGCGCTTTTGCAGAGAGCTTCGCTGGCTCCTGTGCCAGAGCCTTATTTTTATAGCAAAAAGGGAGACCGGACCCCGACGAGACAAACGGGAGTGAAATGAGATGCAGGCCGGGCCGAGCCTCCGCAGCGCAGTTCATCGCCAGCTGTTTCGCCTCTACTGCTGGAGGCACAGGCTTCTGCAGGAGGTGTTGCAGCGGCCCTAATCCACACTACGCCAGAAAGCAGGGCCTGAGAAAGACACAGAAACCACATGGAAGGACCTCATGGCGGTGCATTGGCCGCACCTTCTCAAGCGACATCTGTGGCTGCTTTGCGACAACGAGCGAGGGCGAGGGTCCGGCCTGCAAAAGGTGCTGGGACGGGAACTTGCGGGAGATGTTTTGCAGTACCAGCCTCCGGCTCAGCTCGCTTCGTCTCTGTCGGGACGTTGGCGCCCTGAGCATTCAAGCGGCGGTTCACGGAACCAGTGGTACTCGTCCTGTGGTTGTACCGCACGAGTTCGTGGTGCAGATGAAGCAGGATGGAAAGGCCTGTGACACAGCGATCTCGTCGATTTGCTGAAGTGTCCGCTGGGCCTGCACAGCTCTGGATGCAGCACCCTTTACCGTAGGAACTAGGTTGGAACAACTTCACTGATGCCTGGGCAGGATCCCCAGAAGCTGTAAATTTGCACGACTTCCGACACATTTCAAACGTCCCGACGTTGCAAGTAGGTGCCTTCTCCACCCCTTCGAAGTCGCTGATGCTGGCAAACAGCTCAGAAGCTTCCTTTCCATTGCTGACACAACGCACAGGAGCGGGGACACCAGGCCAAGATCCTAACGTCGAACCAAACCAAAACCGATCAAGGAAGAAGGAGCTTCAATCCGAACCCGTACCAGCCGAACTTCTGAACCGACCGTCTCGGAGCGTTGCACCGGGTCGCCTTTGTAAACTCCCGGCCGCGAGGGATGTCGCCATCCAAGACCGAGCTCTCGCCCAGCATCAGGATGGCCATGGCCTCGCCCTGCCTGAACGGGGACATGTCTTACTGGCACGGGCAAGGAGGCAACCAAGACGGCCAAGACAGCCAGGGCCCCAGGGCCTGTCCCAGGTCTGGGCAAAGAGATTGCGCGCTTCCGTGGCCGCCTGCGACCAAAGCTGGTGTTCCGCTCGCCGCTACGGGCAATGGCCCGAGGTTGCTAGTCTAATTATGTCTCATTCACGTGGTTTAGCATGAGAGAACTGGTATTGAATTGGGATTGGATTCTCACCGGCACAAACCAACTGACGATCTTCTGCCTGATCCATACCACTACATCGCCGCCTGCACAGCAGCGCCGGTTCGCCCGGCAACAGCATGACACTGCGCCACCGAGTACCTTGTCGCAACCAGCTGACATGAAGTGAAGCCATCAACGTGTCTGCCGTGCTGGACACAGGGCCGTCCTTTGGGCGCGTAGGTCTCAGCAATTTTTCCCTGGCTCTGAAGAGGAACGGCGTCATCTGTTGCGCAACCTCCAAGTTAGGACACCTTAACCTGAGCCGAGGAGCGTGGCAATGCCGGTCATCCTTGGAGGGGCCGAGGGACAGAGACATTGCAGTTAGAAACAATGGCAAGTCCCTCCTCGCGCCCACAACGCATGCATCTGAACAAAACACCCTACGACTCCTCACAACTCAGGCATAGGAAATGCCGCAGATATATGTCCAGCGGCTGCTTGTCTCCCATCTTGCGTGCAAGCGCAGCCGCCTCACGCGCAGGGCGCACGGCAGAAGCCTGGCGAATCAGCGAGTATGACCCAAACTGACCAACGAAACAGCGAATACAAATCGGGAATCGCCAGAGTGTGAGGAAGCGGGTCGCAAGACATGTTCAGGCGCAAAACCCATCGAAAAGGACGGAATCAAGAACATGTCGGAATCAACACCTTTGTAGAGGCGCTTCAAAGCTGGAAGACCACGGGACACTTACGCTGCCGCGCCTTGTGTGTCCCGCCCCGTAAGGACCCAAAGCACCCAATCAGTTTCTTCCGATGCCTATTATACTGAGTGGCCATGCCCACCATAGCCCACCATTTGCGAACGTGTCCAAACTCTCCGAAACCGGCTGACATGCCGCGAATGAAGCGTCTAGAAGGAACACGCAAGGAACCGAGGTCCAGCGAGATTCTCTCCAATCCTCCCCGAATCGCACACCACATCCACTGCTTCTGACTTGCCCTAAAACGAACCAGAAGGATACCAATGCTCATCCTCGTGATCAGAGCTGCACCAGATTTTCGAAATCGTGCGCTTATGCCTAGTGCCCTGCGACCAGCGGCCACATAGGCAGTCGTGTGCCGTCGCATTCCATTACAGGCCCCGTCACATCTTTGCTGTGCGCAACAGCCGCCATTCCCAGCAGAGATCGCAACTTGACACAAGACCAGGTCCAGCCGTCGCGAGTGAAGTGGATGTGGCATGGAAAGCGTCAGCTGACACATGAGTGCTGACTAGGTCGAGGTCACTGCCAGCTCACGGAGTGCAACTGGCGACGAAAACTTTCACCGTTGTGGTGCTCTGATCTGCCGGGGCTACAGCCCCCAAAAAAACAACTGCTTTGTCAAAATCCAATCTGTTGCCCAATTCGACCGCCTTTCTTCTCTCGCGCGCACAAGGGGGCTTATCAACCGCGAGATGACTTGATCTGACCTGGTTAGCCAAGTCCATCTCCACTTCTTGCACCAGCCGTCAGGCTATCCTCACCAGAGATAAATCCACAACCACCAGCCATCGCAGGGGAACATGAGAGTAGAGTCTGTTGCTCGTGCTCGTAGGTAACTTAACTTAAGGTAGCAGCTTCCAGACCTCCCAGAAAATGTCTCAAAGTTGATTACCAGCGACACATGACAGCAAATCGGCCAGTACCATTTTGTGCGGCGATACAAGGCAGGAGGGAGACAGAGCCGTTGGCATGAAGATGTCATCGCCGGGCTCCGTTTTCTATCCGAACCTGCTCAATGCTGCACTTCCCGTGGCAAACCGTCACATTATGACAAACGCGATCCAGAAAGCAGCAGGTCCCAGGCGCGTGCCCCGACGAAACCAGGACTAGCGAGAGCAACGACCTGCCAGCCTCTTTTGGATGCAGGAGATACAATCGAGCCCATCCCCGCTTTCCTGGGATGTCTTGCCCAGGAGAACGCGCAGCGACCAAGCGATTGATTTTGGAACCTGATGAAGAACGCCCGCCCCCATCAAGGTCGCTAAGGTTCATAAGTAACCCCGTGAACCCGGAGCCTGATAAAGATTGCAGACATTGTTTGGGGGTTTGGGGGACAGCTCTAGTTTAATCATACTAGTAGTAGTGCAGTAGTGGCAAAGTAACAGCAGAAGTAAAGTAGCAGTACAGTAGTAGTAGAGCAGGTTCACAGCAGTAGTACAGTAATAGTACAGCAGTACAGTAGGTGGTACAGCAGTATTACCGTGGTAGTACAGCAATAGTATTAGTAGCAGGAGCA